TCCATTAGCGGAATGTCGCCAGACCCTGGAGCCCCCACCCCTGCTCCCAGGGTGTCTTCCACAAACCAACCTCCCTTTTATAGCCATTAACAGAGTTTCTGGGCAGCGCTGTGTGCTGGCATCAGCTCCAGTGCACTAAATGAAGTCCTTCCTGAGTGTGCTGGTGGGCTAAGCAGCCGCAAAGACAATAAGCAAGGGAATAGACTGGAGAGAGGCTAGGGGGATCAGGGTGTCTAGACAGGATGGTTGGAGATGACGTCTCTGTAGAAACCTAAATAAATTTGGGAAGCAAGATGGGTAACATCTGGGAAAGTGGGAACAGCAGGTGCAAAGGCCCTGAGGTAGACATGTGCTTGGCAAGTTCAAGGAACAGCAGGGAAGCCAGTGTAGCTGGAACCAAATGAAGGCGGAAAGGTACAGTCAGAAGCACAGGAGGGTGAGAGAATTCACCAGAGCCAGAGTGGGGAGCAGAACAGGCAGACTGACGAAGTACACTCCTGAGGGGAGCAGCAGGCGGCAGGAGAGGTCTGCGCGCCATGTGGGACTCTCGCCGGCGGGGGATCGAACCGGCGCTACAGAGGCTTTGGGCATCTTCGCAGCCCAGCGCTCAAACTCTGCGCCACTGGGGAGGCCCCCTTGCATTTTACATTTTTAAATGTTCGTGTTGGCCACCCCGTGGAGACTGGAGCAGAAGCAGGGGGACTAGTTAGAAATTCTGTGTTGCAGTGGTGTACGGCAGTACGTACGAGATTTGTAGATAATGGCTTGGCAAGTTTTGTAAAGGAAACCAGTTGGAAGCAGCTTGTCCTTTAGCCATGCACACATAATCCCGTCAGTGTGCAGGGCCACACACCACCACCACCACCTTCCCCCCGTCCAGCCCGGCCCCCCCGCCCCCCCGCCCTGGAAGGGTGTGGCTGTCCAGGCCCTGCCCTTTCCTCTGGCGCTGGCCATGGACCTGAGGGTGTTGGTCGCATATGAGTGGGACTCAGCACGGCCCTCTTGGGGCCTTGAAGAGGAGCCAGGTTGGTCGAGCGCGCTGAGGTTTTCCCCAGGGGAGCTGCCCTGCAGCCTTTCCCTCTGGCATCCAGGCTCAGGATGATTGGGGCTGGCCCTGGCCTTTTCCTCCATGCCCCTGTCTGAGCCTCCTCCTTCCTCACTGCTCTTGAGACCCCCTCTGCTGACCAGAGCAGCTCCTGCAAGCCACTTGACCGCCCAGCTGTGTGACCTGGACAAGTCACCATCCTCTCTGTGCCTCAGGCTCCACAAAGCAGGGGCAGAAAAGGTAAAATCAGTTCGTTCCCAGCAGCACACACGTGGTGGGGCCAGCAGCGTGGGTGTGGCCACGCCCGACCTGTCACCTGCCTTCCCCTCGCTGACCTGGCTGGTTGGAGAGTGGCCAGTGGCCCAGGCCCTTTTGCTCCGGGACTGGCCCCTTGACCCTCTGGGCCTGAGCTGTCGGCACATGAGGACCCCAGTCCTCCCCACCGGCCACCCTCTGGCCTCATCCCAGCCCTACGCCTGGTCCCAGCCACCTTCCCTGCATCCTCTGCCTCTGCAGAAACCTAAAGGGGAAATAAGCCCAGGCCAGGGCACAGCCAGTGCAAAGGCCCTGAGGTGCCTTCTGAGGAAGGTTTGCTGGGCCTTCTTGGCCTCTGCCTGTCCTCTCGTCTCGTGGGCCATTGTGGTGTGGGGGATGCTGACTCGGTGACGCTGGCCAACATGGCTTTATCTGAAGGCCCCTGGGGTCCCATCTGCAGCTGGGACTTGTGCGCCTGAGGGGATTGAGGACTTGAGATCTGGTTGCGGACCAGGAGCGCCTGACAGGTCACCACGGAGCTATCAGCCCCCCCTGTGATCATCACATAACGTTTTAGAGAGTGGACTTTCTTTGGTTTGCTTTTGTACTTTTTGTGTCTGTGGCCAAATGTACACACCCTAAAACCTACGTTTTAACCATGTCTGCGTGTGCAGTTCAGTGGCCAGTGACAGTCACTCAGCCACCACCACTCTCCATCCCCAGAACTTTGATCATCATCTGAACAGAAAATGTCCCCCCAACATGAAGTCTCTTCCCCCACAGCCCGGTCAGGCAGCCCCCAGCACCCCAGGGCTCTCAACGCTGGGGCCACCTGTTTGCATTTCTCTAGGTGGGAGTGCCGTGAGCCCAGGGTCCCCTGCAGGAACCCTACTCCAGGCGCCACTGGGGCCCTGGCGAGCGCGGAGGCCTCCAGCCTCAGCCCCCTCCTCCCGTGCACTGGACCCTGATTCCCTGGGCCGGCTAAACCAGCCTCCTCGCCGGCCCCGAGCTGACCCTTGTGTGAGTCTGAGGAGGCTCCTTAGCCTAGGACTTTTTTATTTATTAAAAATTAATTAAGGGGCTCTGATGTAACAGGACTTAAGCGGAGATGACAGGTCACGTGATCTCTGAAAGCACAGGGCTGGTAATCCATTTAAAAAAACATTTTCTTCTTCTTCTTTTTAATTTAATGGAGGAAATCATTAGCTGGGAAATTGGTAGGACTGATTTATTCCTGATTTGGGGGGTGGGGGAGAGTGGGAGAGAAAACCTGCTCTAGTTGCTTCTTGTTCTAGAATTATGTCGGCAAAACATTCCCGTTAGCTGGGCCTGGCCGGGCTTAGGCGGCAGGTCCCCTGGCTCTCTCCCCCCAGACCTCTCCCCGGTGGGCGCGCAGGACTCTTTCTGGACCCAGGTGGGCGGTGGTGCTGTGGCCACGGGTCTGAACCCCCGCAGACCTGCCTTGGCCTCCTGGACCTTGGCCGACTGGGCGGGGGGGTGCTGTTACTCGTGAGCTGGGGTCTCATGCTCAAGCCCTCGTTCCCAGGGACCAGGCCCAGGACCCCCATCTGGGAAAAGGACTACGTGCCTCCTGGGCTTCATCCGGTTCCAAAGGGAGGCAACTGGGTTCACCCTAAAAATAACCAAACATACAAACAGCCTCAACATGCAAATGTTTTCGTATCTGTGGGCCAAATAATTTAAAGGTACAGCATTTTTTTCTGCTGTAGGAGCCATTTGTTTTCCTGGCGCAGGGAGGGGCTCTTCTGGGGTCTGGTCTCGGGGCTCCTCCACTCTGAGGTCTGGCTGGGGATGGAGGCCCTGCCGGGGTGCTCAGCTGCTGCCCTCTGCACTGACGCTTCCTACCTTGGGACACCCCATGTCTGGTGAGGGGTAAGCCCCCTGAGACTTGCTGCAGACCTGGAGCGTCCCCCATCAGGCAGGCTGGGCTGGCTCGGGGCCTGGAGAGCTGTCCCCGCCTTCAGGCTCCTGAGTTTGCCGGGGGGTGGGGGGGGTCTGCCTTACGTTGATTTTCCAGGCTTGCCTGGCCCAGAAACATGGGTAGACTAGTTCTCAGAGAGAAGGAGGCTATAAATAGCCAGGCAGGATGTGGGGAAGGTGAAAAGGCAAGGGCCTGCTAAGGTTGCACGCCCTGCCCCCAGCAGAGGCTGCATCCTTGCCCTTCGGGCGCCCCGAGGTCCAGAACCACCGTTGGGTGCTGGGCTTCCCGCCCCATGGTGGAGCCCAGGCCCTGCATGGTCCGTTTCCGCTCCTGCCTCATACTCCTGTCTCTTTCTGCAGCTATCCCCCCAGATGCCACGTCTGGGGGAAGCCCACTATCTGCTGGGGGGTCCCGTGGCACTGCCTGTGGTCACCCCTCAGGGACGGCGGATCTGGGATTCCAGGGCAGGGGCTAACGCCGCAGCTGGGGGTGGCACCATGGCTCGGAGTTGGTCCGCCTGGGGAGGGGCAGTTATTTCGCCAGTCAGGCCAGGGCGCAGTGACATCGACAGTCTTCACTTGCTTGCTCATTCGAGATTCGTTCAGTGCCTGCGAGTGCCAGGCGCCCTCCACGGCCCCGGGATACATGGCCCCTCCTCTGGGGGGGGGGAGACAGCAGAGAGAGGAGGTGGGGCCCGGAGACACCCCGAGGGAGAGAAGCCGGGCGCAGGACGGGACCCACTCTGCCATCCCCGGAGGAGCAGGGCGTCCCGGGTGCAGACGGAGGCTCCGGAGAGGCCGGCGGCAGCGGTGGTAGCGGCACAGCAGGTGAGGGTGTGGGTACTTGGAAATGGCCCAGGTGGTAAATCTGATGGGGCGCCTCTTACACTGTGATTTTTAAAGCGAAAAGAGAAGAAAGGCGCGCACTCAGCGTGTTTGGTGCCAGTCAGTGCCACGGAGAGAGCGAGTGCCATGGGCTGTTTGGGGTGAGGGCACGCGGCCTGGGATGGCTGAGGGAGAAGGCCCAGGTGCCCAGGGCAGGCAGGCACCTGCCGGCTTTGAGCCAAGGCGGGACATCTCGAAGGTCTGAAGGGGATCCCGCTGGCCCCTCTGTTGGGAGAGGCCAAGGGCTAGGCCAGGTCTTGCCAAGCTGGGGGCTGGGCGGGGCTCCCCGTCCTCGACAGCAGCGCCCAGCTCGGGGTAGCTGTTCTATTTGTGGGCTCCCAGCTCAGTGCAAGTCATGCTTCTTTGTGGCTGTGTTTAAATTGTTCCTGCTTTTCCGGAGTCCCCACCGCCACGCCCCAGATGCCGCTTCTCCTCCGCGTGGGCAGCCCGGGTGGGTGGGACAGGAGTGGACGGCGTAGCCAGGTTGCAGTTCCTGGACTTCAGGCTTTGGAGCCACTCAGTTGGCTCCTGAGCCCCCACCTGCCTGCTGGGGGCGGGGGCGGGTGCCAGGGCCCCTCCAACCCAGGCCTGTCCCAGAGTCGCCTCTCAGGAGGCCTGTGCAGGGCAGCCGGCAGCTGGGCTGGGCCTCAGGCCCAACTTTGGTGCCACTGTGCCCTGGGCCCAGTAAGTCTGTGCAGCTGTGAGGGCAGTTCTGCTGGGGGAGGGCCTCCCTGGGTGCCTGGCCCTCCACCCCACCTGTGCCTCAGTCCCTGCTCGACTTTGGGTCCCGCCCAGACATTCCAGGGATGACTTCAGGAGTTGCTGGGGGAAACGGCAGGAGCTGGGTTCTAGAATGGGGGTCTGGGGCCAACGGGGGCAGGAGGTGAGGTCCGTGCTTCAGGGACCCTCGTCATCATGGAGCCTGTGGGGCCCGCTCCCCAACTGGCATCAGAGTTGTTCCCCGAGAGCCCGACCACCTGCCTGCTGGCCTTGTAAAGGGGCCCCTGGGGCCAGGCTGCAGACACCGTGGGGTAAGTCAGGGCGGGGGACGGCACGGGGAGGGCAGAGGGCCCGGGCCTGCCGTCGCTGGGCCTGTCTTCCCCCTCGTCCAGCCCTCAGAGCAGCCATGTCCAGGACGGCCACCTCTAGCCCGCGTGGCGCTTTCATTTTAAATTAAAGTGAAATAAAACTTAAAATTCACCACCCCCCATCACTGTAGTCTCATTTCAGGGGCCCTGTGGGACCAGCAGCAGCCGTGCTGGACACGCAGGCATAGAAGGTTGTACAGAAGCCCTGCTGGGCACCCCCTCACCTCAGTGCCCCCCCGTGAGATGGGGTTTGTGCCCCCACTTTCAGATCAAGATGCTGAGGCTCAGAAGGGCAAGATGACAGGCAGTCAGTGAGTGCTGGGGCCCAGGGGAGCCCCGGACCCTCCAAGGGGGCCTCTGCTGCTCACCCTGGGGAGCGATGCTTGCATGAAAAACAGAGCAGGATGAACATTTGACTTGGGCCCCCTGGACCTCCGAGACCAAATCCCTGGGACAGCTTCCAGGAAGCCTCACTGGGCTCTGAAAACTCACTGGAAAGCGGGAGGACGAGAGCCAGAGGTGGAGACGGGGTCTGAGCGCATCAGCTGGCCACGCCGTGTCTGCGGCTCAGCTGGAGGGAGCGGAGCCCTGGCCCCTGCTCCAGCGGATGAGCCTCGGGGCACCGGGCTGAGCGGTGGGAGCCGGACGGCCACGTAGTATGACTGTAGAGAAACAGGCGGATCTGCAGAGACAGAGCGGATGGTGGTGGCCACGGCAGGTGGGGGGAGCAGCACTGATGGGGCTTCCATTTGGGGTGATAAAAGTGCCCCGGAGCGAGATAGAGGAGGCGCCGGTCGGGCGCCAGAGGATGGGATGGCAGAGTCTGCGTTGTATGTATTTTGCGCAATAAAAAGATGAGAGGAGCTGGTAGCATCGAGGTGAGTGTCTGGATGTTCCTTCCAAAGTGTTTTCCACTTCACCATGTGCTTGAGCATTTTTATAATAAAGTGTTGAGGGAACTGAGAGGACTGTGAGGAGAAAATGCTTTCGAGGCTGCGGCCTCAGACTCGGGTTCCAGCGTGGGCCTTGGGGCCTCCCCTTCAGAGCAGGAGGCTGCCTGCTGCTGGCTCCAGGGAGAGGGGCTGCCCTCCCTACCAGGCTTCCGGCCTCCGGGGGACAAGGTCCCGCACTCGAGGTGGCCGTGGCCTGGGCTGTCCCTGCTGCTGCGGGCGTCCGGATGTACAGGCTGGGGCTACCGTTGTGATGCGGAATGGAGATCGGAAGAGGCCCCTGCACTTGCCCCTGTCCCGTGACCTCCAGCAGGCCAGGCTGAGGCCCCGGCCCAGGCACCCAGCCCGCTGCCCTGCCTTGTTCCCGCTGCGCAGAGCAAGACTGGCTGCAGCTGGAGTCCTGGGCAGGACAGCTGAGGCTGGGCACAGCCAGGTGGGCACTCGGGGAGCTGTGTTGGGGAGTGGGGCACGCTGGCCCTCTCGGTGGCCCGAGTGCTGGGAGCCCCCTTGGCCTTTCTCCTCCTGTGCCCTGGGTGTCAAAGTCCCCCACTGGTGGGCGTCCCTTTGCTCCTGGGGTGGTAAGTGGGACTTGGGGTTTGTAAGACAGGGGGAGGCAGGAGGAGGTCAGAAGTGCCTCCCTGAACACCAGGGCCATTGGTCTCCTTGGGCCCCCACAATGGATCTGACTGGACAGCGGGGCGGGCGAGGAGGTGCATGGACTCTGGGTGAGGTGGTGGAACCCTCAGAAGGGCCGGGCCGGTTCCCCTCCCAGCCTGGCCTACCTGGGCCCAGAAGCCTGCCCGGGGGAGGCTGCACAGGAGAAGTGTGGGGATTGGCTCTGTGCTGACATACGCCTTCCCTCTGGCATATGGCTCCTCCGCCCGCCTTAGGCTCTGCCAGCGGCTCCCCGTTCTCCATGGCAACTTAGCTCCGTGGTCCCAGTGGAGGAGAGAGAATCAATTCTCCCTCCTTCCCTCCCTCCCTCTCCTCTCCCCACCCCTTCCTCTCCGGCCTCCCTTCCTCCTTCAGCCCTGCCCAAGCGCACGGCTCTTCCATCCCTCTGTCCTTCCGTCCACCCAGGGCACCCCTGTGGCGGCGCCCTCCCGTCTCCAGGCATGGGACGCCGGCAGAGCTGCACGCCGGGGGCTGCTCCCTGAGGCTGTCAGCATGGGGAGCTCGGTGGACCTTCGCAGAGGTGGGGGGCGGCTGGACGAGCCCCGGCCCGGTGCGTGGCTCCCAGCTCTCACCCCTTGCCCCTCTGCCCCCCTTCCTTGCATTTTCTTCCTGAAAGGTAATTTTCTGTACCTTCTGAACCGGTCATAGCCTCAGGACGGGTTGATCAGCCGGAAGGCTCTGTCCTGGTCACGTGGGCTTGCTTGTTTTCTGTCGAGTAGCTGGGGTGGAGGGAGCCGGGGAGGGAGAGGCATGGCCCGTCTCGGAGCTCAACAGGGACGGGGTAGAGTTCGGAGGCCAAATCTCCCTCTGAGGCGTCTGCGAGGGGCTGGGCTCTGGCCCTGGTGTTTGGGGCCCCTGGTCTCCTTCGCACTCGCGCCTCCTGATTAACTGCCCACAGCATGGCCAGTCCACTTCCCTGGGCCGTGGTCTGCCTGAGCAGAAACGGGAAATTCAGAGGCTCACACAGATGGGGCAGGGCCCCGCAGGGGACCCCAGGGACAGCTTTGATTGCTCTAGCTCCAGTCCTCTCTCACCTGTGAAAGGAGCTTAGTGGGGGGATGTGTTATCCCCACAGGCAAGAATGTCCAGGAAGGTGGTGTAGCGAGGACCCAGTCTGCCGCCTGGTTCCCGGCAGAGCGGCCTGGCCTGGACCGCCGTGTGCTCGGGACAGCACCTCGCAGACTTTGGTCCAGGCAGGACTCTGAGGCTGCTGCCCCCTGGGCCGACATTCCCGTCTCCAGCACTGGGGTTCAGGGCGGCTCCTGGAGGGCTTCCCTGGAGGGATGTTGCTCACACGGCTGCCTGGACCCCTGGAGGGGCAGGTCTGCCTCCCCGGCACCTCTGCCTGACAAGGGCAAAGGGAAAGAAGAACTTCCTGTTGACTAGGATACCTCCCCAGTTGCGGGGAAGCGAGGCCGGAGGGGAGCGGATGCAGGACCCAGTTCTTAGAAGCCGGGGTTTGAGTCGTGTCTGCGAGGGAGCCCGTGCGGTCTTTAAATAGAAAGCCAGCTCCCAGCGGCCCTGTCCGGCGCGGGGACGCGTCAAAGTTAGGTGCAGGTACTGGGAATCGGCTCTGGCCCTGGTGCCCAGTGGGGGGCTGACCACTGGGGCCCCCACTTGGGGGCTCGACACTCGGGGCCACGCCTGCATCTGATTGGGTTAGGTTTTGGTGTCGGCGTTCCCTCTGACAGATTGCTGTAATGACAGCACACCCTTGCAGGCAGCCCAAGGCGGGCTCCCGCCTGCGTCTGTTTCCAAAGCCCTGCTTTTCTAAAGCTGCCGGGGAGCCCCCCACAGACCCTTTGATAGCCAGACAGGCTCCCGCGGGCGGGCTGGGGGGGGGGCTCTGTGCCTGCCGGCGCCGGGCTGCTGCTTCCTCTGCTCTGCTGCAGCCTGTCGCGGGGACCCTCCTGGCATCCAGGCGCTGTGCAGGCTTAATGACATTACCCGCGTCTGGATGCTGCTGCCAGGCTGGCTGTAAATTCTGATGGGCTGACGAGCTCTGCGAGGGTGGAGAGGCGGTGTGCTGCTTTGCTTTGCTTTTGGTTTGCTGGCAACGGAAAATCTGATAGGACGCGGCAAAGGTCGGCCCCGCCGGTCCCGGCCGGTCCCGGCTCCTCGTGTGCCTCCAGGGAGGCCGACCGCGGCAGGGTTACTCCGCTCTGGGGTCGTTCCTGTCGGTGCCTGAGCCTCCCGAGTAGGGGAGGCTTCCGCGGAGAGGCAAGTTTGTAAGATGAGAGGAGAGGGGCAGGGCTCCTGCGGGCCGCCGGCTGGCATCCTCTGAGAGTCCTGCGCCTGAGCCTCCGTGCCAGACTCCCCCGCCCGCCCTGGCCTCTGGCCCCCGGAGCCAGCCTCCTTCCTTAGTGTCATCTCACGTAGCAGTGGCAGGGACTTACTTGAAAGCGTGGTGGAGCGGCGGAGGGTGTGAGGCAAGTCGGAGAGGTGGGAGCCTGGGCTGCCGATGGCTCCAGCCGGTGCGAGTGTGGAAAAAAGCTCATTCCAGGAAAAGTGGCATCAGCACCGCGTTGGCCGGCGTCCAGGCGGTGAGTGGCTCTCCCTTCTTTAATTCCATGGGAGCACGGGGCTCGGGGCGGGCGCAGCGGGGGCCTGGCGGTCCGGACAGACCTTGTGAAGCCCCAGAGGCTCTCAGGGGAAAGCCTGGTCATTCTCCCCTGGCCGGGCTCGCTGAGGGCCACGACCATCACCCAGGCTGTGCCCGGCGGGGCGGGACCGCAGCGCTGGCAGAATGAGGGTCTTTCGGACCCCAGGGGCTGCGCCTGTGCCCCAGCCCAGCCTGGTGCCAAGCTTTGAGAAAATCCGGTGGCTCTTTGCCTTCATTCCACCAATGGCTTAAGAAACCGTGTTAGAAAAAAGGAGCCCCCAAAGCGTTCAGATCTCTGGGTCTGTCTTGTGCTGTCCCCGACTGCACGCTTGCACACATGCATGCACACACATGCACACTCACCCAGAAACATGTCTCTCCTCCCGCCATCACGGCAGCAGCTGGCAGCTCTGCCCACCGCACCTTGTACGAAGCTTCCCCGCATCGTTCAGACCCCACCCCCCACACGTGCTGCCTTTAGCTCAGCGCCTCACCTGAGCTGGCCGCCGGCCGTCCACTCTGGACAGCGCCGCCTCCCACTTGCACGGTCCTCGTTTCCACCCCTGCCGCCGCCGATCGCAGGTGTGTTAGCTAGACAGGCGCGCTGGTGTTTGCAGGGGGAGCCCCGCCGCCAGCTTCCAGCAGTGACTTCTGGGGCTCTCAAGCCAAGGGGAAGGGGTTGTCGGAGAGCCCGGAGGCGCCAGGTACGCCGGCTG